CTCTCCATTTCTTTTATTGTTCATTCTCATATCTTTCTTTATTTCTCGGAGTAATGTGTTCCTTGGCCTTCCTCTTTTCCGTTTGCCTTGAGGGTTCCATGTGAGGGCTTGTGTTGTGACGCAGTTAGGGTTTTTTTGTCAATCGACTTAGTTAAACCAATCAATCAATCAACAGCAACTTAGAACATCGTACGTACGTACCTACATCAGTTCAAGTAGCCGTACCACATTAGCACTGTCAATTTAAATCCCATAGTAGTAGATGTAGTAGAAATATTAGCAGTAATCGGAGAGATTAGGGTTCGAAGATATTATTCAAAGAGTAGAATCTAGTGAAACGAACTTAAAAATGAGAAAGATAAAGGTTATCAGGAACTCTGAAGGTTAGGATTTTAGAGAGCACAAAGAATGAATGCACCTGCGCCAGTGTAAACGGTTTTTCGCCATGTCATTCAGGGTCTCTAACCATCGATTACTAACATCTTGCGGAACCCAACCAGGTAGTCGACACCTACCGACATCATCCAATTTACTTGTCAGTGACTTCATGGATTTCTGCCATGTTTTGGTTTGGCTGCCCCTAGCATTGCAAAACATAGCTCGACGAGGCATTCGGTGGTTAGGCATACGTAACACATGTCCTAACCACCTGAGCTGATGAAGTTTCATTACTTCATCAATTGATCTGTCATTCTTACCTAGTACCCGTATCCTAACAACAGCATTGCTTACTCGATTGCTTACTCAGGATATACGAACAATACTTCAAAGACACTTGTAATCAATTTAATTAGTAATAAACGAGTGAGAATAATGAGTAGTCAGTTCTATACTGATTAATTTACATCCTTACTTAAATTCCAACATCAAGCAAACATTCGTTGTTTATCTCAAATCTATCATCGAATTCAATCTACTGGAATAAAAAAATTTTTTCTTGATATTCCTTCCTATCAACATAAATCAAGTTTCTTTTCAATAAATAAATGACACCACCAAACAAATTACAAACATTTGATGAGATCCTAATTTATTTGACATTTAGTTTACTTCTGCTATCTTATGCATTCATGTTCATTCACTTAGGCATATTTATAGTAAATTAGTCAACTAGCGCTTGTTATCCATAATATATACTTGACTAAACACATTAATTTCAATGTCAGCTATTCATACCAGCAACAAACTAACTGATTGTAAGATGTCAGATTTAGTAATAATTACAATACGATAATTCCAATCAAAACTATTTAATAAAACAAAAACATTCGAAATTCAATCCAATTGAGAAAAAAATTAATCATCCACCGAAAATAATAATCATTAGAAAATGTGTGTGAATTGAATAAGTGTTTTTGTGTTTTGGTACATGTAGAAGATGTGTGATGTGTGTGTTGAAATATACTTGTTTCCAATTTCACACAATCGGTGTTTTTTGCTATTTAAGATTGATGAAATGGTTTCAATTCTTCTATTCAGGGTAAATAATTTAATTTCATACCATGAATGATTACTACAAGATTAGTTAACAATGTCCAACAAAAAGTTGATGAGTTGGGTTGAACACCCAGTTAGTTTTTCTTTGTGCAAATGTCTAAAGTTGCGAAAAAGAAATACCCTCCTTATACTACATTCGCATAAATCACAAGTTATTTACATCCAGTTTGTGTTGTTGACAAATTAACATCATTAATCACAAGTTATCATCAATTGAGGGATTGTTAAGGTGTCGGCAGTCATTATCAGTTCAGTGCGTTTGTCATTAATGAGATATAATTTTTTTGGGGAGAGTTTTGGAGGTTTGTGTTTTTATACATTTGAAACCAACGGAGTTTAACCCTGTTGGGTGTAGGCAGTAACTACCAAAGACAAATGGGTGAGGTCGCGCAAAAATCCGTAGATCAATCAGAGTTAAACAATAACACCGTTGGATGCCGAGCCAGTGTTCCGATGGTTAGGCGTTCGCGCACAATCCCAAAGGTCCCGAGTTGGAATCCTGCGAGTCGTGGGTGCGCGCTGCTGATGAGTCTCATACCAGCACGAAACGGCCGTCCAGTGCATTTAGGTTTCTAATGGTGGTTTGACAATGATTGATTTATGATTTCAGATATTGATTTTCAGCTTTCTTACATTAGTTAGAAATTTTATGTATCTGTAAAACTCATAGGTAAGCTGCATTGATCATTTTTCGATTGAATTAGGTAACAAGTTGGATAATGAACTATGTTTCGGATGTTTTTAATATGTGTATATAACATGGTTCATGTGTCTGTGTTAGGTTTGTGTTAATAGTATATTTTTAACAAGAAAAACGCTCGGTTTAAGTCAGTGTGAGTATGTTTAGACTTTATATCGCGATACAGAACTACAGGTTTCTTATGAGACTAGAGGTTCGTTGCGAACATTCAAGATGGTTTCGTATTAGTCTTTGGCATGTTTTGCTAATAGTTCATATACAAATTTGATTTGCAGAGTAATTGATTTCACGGATACTGGCGGTTGTCTTGTATTATTTCCGAGTGTCAATGTCATTGGGGTGTTGTATTGCATAACAAAATTGCTAATAATAATGAGTTTGACAGTCATGTATGCAGCCTAATTCAAATTGAACTGTCCATGCTGTGCATATTGATTGGCGCGGTCAATGATCGGAAATAATCACTATATGTATTGGTGTAGATGAATGGTGTTAGGGTGTCAAGTACCTGTGTAGTTGTGCCACAAGATAGAGCCTAACTGTTCACGTTTTAGTGTTAACATGTGGAAAGTGTCTGGTTCTCCTGAAAACCATTGTAAAACTACCCTTGCCAAATGAAGGCCAATTTATATAATTATATAATAAATTCGTTAATAAATTAAGAAAACTAAAACTCCGCCTGGAGCACTTCTGATGTTATTGACGGTCTCAAGATTAGTTTAAAGAAGTAGGGTTAGGTATGGAGTTAGCGACCCTATCTTGTAGTAAACTAACTCATTAAAAAAGTGCTGACCAGAAAAAAATTATATTTCTAAAACGAACTGAATAAGAATGGTAGTAATTAACACTGAAACAAAATTTCATAGTTTATGTCGTTGAATTAATCCTTTTAGGGTTGTAGTTGCATTAAAGAGATGTAATCTATTGGATGTAACTAGCGTACTGTCTGACAGTGAAGTCCAAGATCCATATTTCGTTAGCTCCATGTACTTATATCTCAGTGTTGACATTTACATTAGAATTTCAGCCAATGTCTTTCTAGTCAAACGCTAAATCAGTTTACTACTTGGATATTGAATTTAAATGATCACTAGCTTGTACCACCAGTATGCACTTCATTTTACCTGTGAGGTTTTCCCATTTTCAACATTTGCAGTGAAAGATACTGGCTTAAAGTTTAGGTTGTGAAAATTAACGTTTGAGTGTAGCCATAACCAGGACAAAACACTTGTTCTTATTTCCACCACAAACCAATATCCAGTTTTGATAAAACTTCAAGGCCAAGTATCAAAACTACCATCTAGGGATACTCTTACGCCTTTTGAGACCTACCGTTTGGAATCTTTAACATAAACAACTGAAATATATCAACCCTTACAGTACAACGAAGTTCAACCTGTTTTATTTACTTAATTACTTACTAACATCTGTTACCACCAATGGAGCATAGACAATCGACTAGCCTTTTCCAATCTATTCCATCCGGGGGCTTCCTTTCTAGTTCTATTCGGTTGTTGTTCATTCTTCTCATGTCTGCCTCCATTTCTCGGCGTAATGTGTTCTTTTGGACTTCCTCTTTTCTTTTAACATTGAGGGTTCCAAGTGAGGGCTTGCATTGTGAGGCAGTTGGTTGTGTGTCCTATTCACTTCCAGCGCTTCTTCGCAATTTGTTCCCCTATTGGAATCTGGTATGTTCTCTCCTATCAACCTATTTTGTTTTACTTTAAATGCATAAACCTATTCGTATTTGAATAAATTTATGAGCAAAAAGTAAACTTTAGACCAAAAGAACATTTCACAACATACAGTCGACTTTAATTAAAGTGCTATCACAACATATATGAATAATGAATATTTTTTTCATAAAAAAAAACCTTTAATAAATTTCATCAGATAATGCTTCTTTTTTTTTATAAAAAATGAATATAGTTTTCTCAAGAGATTTAATATGTCATTTTGTCAGTTATAGATAGATAAGAGTTTGGTTTTCAATTTAGTTAGTACTTTTATCGGTGAACAAGACAGCAAAATTCTTTTTACTCTTACAAAAAAGTATATATTGTCTGTTTGATTAACAGAAACCCTAATTCACTAATCAATTAACAAAATATTTCAAGTAGTTTAATCAAATGATGTCTGAAGAGCAGCAGTAACTAGTCGAACATAGAACTAATGATGTTCTGAGTGTTTAAATATAAAACTAATGTAAACTGTTGACGAATAAATTCCAAATATTAAGCAAATTAGTTGACTGGTAGGGTTTGAAGAGCGATTTTTATCATTTACCTAGTATGAGGTACGTCGCAAACATATAACCTGCCTTGTAATAAAATCTGTGACAATGCTTATACAACGTAAATATGCTTCACTTCAAGATATCATTCGCCGAGTACCACTTAATCGACAGTTTGGATTGATAAGCCTGTGGAGCTGTTTTATAAGGTAATGCTGAGTATTTATTTAAGAATCAGTGTTAATAAATGCTGTTACGGATTTAACATTCAACTGAAATCTTAATTGTGACTGTTTGTTAGTGAGGTCCTGAATTTACACGGTCGAGTCATCCTATAGTTGGCTAAAACAATCGTGGAGTGTTTCTTGATTCTTACTGGTTTGTCGTAGTTAAGTTATTTCCTCGTACAAACAATAGAATAACTACGAACCCCCAATACAAATAACGCTTTTTTATGACTAAAAAAAGTACTACTGAATTACACAAGGATGAAACTTATTCATTCAAAATTAGTTTAGTATTCATTTCCTGGTCTCAGTGTTTGTTGACATTTTTCTTTTCATTTGTTAGGTTTAGCATCGTATGTATTGAAAAGTCCAGATTTACAAACCAAACCAATTTCAATACATAAATTAGAAATAATGACAAATTTCACACGAAAAGAATTACAATTACTTTATCAAGGATTTAAACATGTGAGTGTTAAGAAAAATTTATTGAAGATTGAATGTTGTGTTTTCAATTGATCATTTAAAACTACAATGCTTTGCTACATTTTTATAAATAGCTTCATGAGGAAATTCTCGGAGTTCTAGTGAGAAGACATGACCAATGGATGAGTTCAACCCTGTCGGTTGTAGGCAGTAACTACCAAAGACAAATGAGTGAGGTCTCACAAAATCCCCTGATCAATCAGAGTTAGACATTAAGACCGTTGGGTGCCGGCCCATTGGTTCAGTGGTAAGGCGTCCGCGCACAGTACCGAAAGTCCCGGGTTCGAATGCTGCGAGATGCGGGAGTTGTGGATACACACTGCTGATGAGTCCCATACCAGGACGAAACGGCCGTCCAGTACTTTCAGGTTTCTAATGTTGATCTAGCAATGATTGATTGATGATTTGAAATATGTAAAAACACTAATCTCCATAACTCTAACTGAAAATAAATAAAGATTACAGTTAACAAAGCAACTCTTATGCCAACATGTTTACAAGTTGAAAAACGAAATATAATCGAAATCATTCTTATTTCAACAGGCTTCTCTACATGATTACATAATCATTTATAGGATCGATTTTGATAATTTTTAAGAAACCTGTAGTCAATATTTGCTTAACAAAATAAACCACTTTGTTTTATTTATTTCTGTGACTGATTTGCCTTAAATAACAGTTTCATGTTTTATTACTGGTTAAAAATTAAATGTGACCATTGTAGCGAACGTGCTTTCATTTACTTTACTGTTAACGATTCTCAACAAACACACACAATGTTTACATTATTCTGAGTAATTTTTTATTGAGTTTCTACAACAAGCTGTAATATAGTTGTCCAATTTCGTATGTGACTGTCTAAGAGAACAGTTATTCTTTGTGGTTGTTTTGTCATATTTTATCTCAACGATTTCACTGGATTTACGAAGTGACCAACTTAATAGTTTATTTTTCGAGTTGATAATGTGTATTGCAAAGATTTGAGTATTGCAATACTGCTTATTTTGAATGAGATAGAATTATCTTCTCATCTTAATAGATTTCTTGAAATTGTATTTACACCAACGTCTAAGACAACAATATTAATTTTGACTGTATACTTACTTACTTAAGCCTGTTACCCCCAATGGAGCATAGGCCGCCCACCAGTTTTCTCCAACCAACTCTGTCCTGGGCTTCCCTCTCCAATTCTGTCCAATGTTTGTTCATTCCTCTCATATCTTTCTCTATTTCTCGGCCTAGTGTGTTCCTTGGCCTTCCTCTTTTCCTTTTGCCTTGAGGGTTCCATGTGAGGGCTTGTCTCGTCACGCAGTTAGGTGCTTTTCGTAGTGTGTCCTATCCACTTCCACCGCTTCTTCCTGATTTCCTCCTTTACTGAAGTCTGGTTTGTTCTCTCCCACAGTACGTTGTTGCTGATGGTGTCTGGCCAACGAATACGAAGTATTTTGCGAAGACAACTGTTAATGAATACTTGTATCTTCTGGGTGATGGCTTTTGTAGTTCTCCATGTTTCCGCTCCATACAGTAGAACTGTCTTCACATTTGTATTGAAGATCCTGATTTTGGTTTTGTTTGAAAGTTGTTTGGAGTTCCAGATATTTTTCAACTGTAGAAATGCAGCCCTCGCTTTGCCTATCCGCGCCCTCACATCTGCATTGGATCCACCTGGTTGTCGATGATGCTGCCCAGATATGTAAAGTTGTTAACGTCCTCGAAAGCATCTCCATCAAGCGTGATTTGGTTGGTGCATGTTGTGTTGCATCGGAGAATTTTGCTTTTTCCTTTATGTATGTTGAGACCTACTGCTGCAGAGGCTGCTGCTACACTGGTCGTCTTCTCTTGCATTTGTTGTTGAGTGTGCGATAGAAGAGCCAGGTCATCTGCGAAGTCCAGATCGTCCAGCTGCGTCCTAACTGTCCAGTTTATACCGTGCTTCCCTCCAGACGTCGACGTCTTCATAATCCAGTCGATCACCAGGAGAAAGAGAAAGGGTGAGAGTAAGCAACCTTGCCTGACACCGGTCTTCACCTCAAACGAGTTTGTCAGCTGACCTCCGTGCACGATTTTGCAGTTGAATCCATCATAAGAATTCCGTATGATGTTAACTATTTTCTCAGGCACACCGTAGTGTCGAAGAAGAGTCCACAGTGTTTTCCTATCCACGCTATCAAATGCCTTCTCGTAGTCGATGAAGTTGATGTAGAGTGGTGAGTTCCATTCAATTGATTGTTCCACAATGATCCGTAATGTAGCAATTTGGTCAGTACATGATCGATCCTTACGAAATCCGGCCTGTTGATCTCGAAGTTGGGCGTCTACGAAGTCCTTTATTCTGTTTAACAATACTCTGTTGAAGACTTTGCCTGGTATTGAAAGAAGAGTGATGCCTCTGTAGTTTTCACACTAGCTGAAATCGCCTTTCTTTGGTATTTTGATGAGGTATCCTTCTTTCCAATCTGATGGTACTTGTTCCTCATCCCAAATCTTCTTGAAGAGCATGTGAAATATTTTCGCAGTTGCTTCCACATCTGCTTTCATTGCCTCTGCTGGAATGTTGTCTGGTCCTGCTGCTTTGCCGCTCTTGATTTGTCTGATGGCCATACTGATCTCCTCAATCGTAGGTGCGCCAATATTAATTGGGAGGTCCTTGGATGCTGCTTCGAAGTTGGGTGGGTTCAGTGGAGCTGGTCGATTCAGAAGTTCCTTAAAGTGCTCTACCCACCTATTTCGCTGTTCGTCAGTGTTGCTGATTATATTCCCTTCCTTGCTTTTCACTGGTCGTTCTGGTTTACGATAGTTCCCGGTGAGCTTCTTCGTTGTTTCGTACAATTGTCTCATGTTTCCTTCTCTTGCAGCCTTTTCCGCCGTCATTGCTAGATCTTCTACGTATTTTCGTTTGTCAGCTCTGATGCTCTTCTTCACTTCCCTGTTCTCTTCCGTGTATGCAGCTGGTGCGGTAACTTTCTCTGCTCTTGTTCGGCTGACATTGATTGCTGCCTTCTTGTTCCTCCTTTCTTCAATTTTTGCAAGAGTACCAACAGAGATCCATTCTTTGTGATGGTGCTTCTTGCGACCAAGGACCTCCTGACATGTTGAAGTGATTGCCTCCTTAATCCCTTTCCAATTGTTCTCCAATGTTGCGTCCTCTCCATTGAGTAGACCCTGAAAGGCCTGGAACCTATTGGTGAGGGCTATCCTGAATTCGTTGAGCTTTACAGTATCCCGAAGAAAGGCCGTATTAAACTTCTGTGATGTCGTCTGTCCCGTTGTCCAGTGCTTCTTTAGTTTCAGTTTCATTTTGGCGATCAGTAAGTGGTGATCTGAAGCTATATCAGCTCCTATCTTGGTTCTCACATCCTCCATGGTCCTTCTGAACTTTCTGTTGATACAGATAGGGTCAATTTGGTTTTGAGTAGTGTGATCCGGTGAAATCCATGTGGCTTTGTGAATGCGTTTGTGCGGGAATATTGTGCCACCGATGACCAGTTTGTTGAAGGCACATAGGTTTGCAAATCTCTCACCGTTTTCGTTCCTTTCTCCCAGTCCATGTCGTCCCATGATGTCTTCATATCCAGTGTTGTCCATTCCAACCTTGGCATTCAGGTCTCCCATAAGAATCGTCAAATCCTTTGGTGAACATTTATCGACGATTGACTGCAGCCTTTCGTAGAATTGATCTTTAACGTCGTCATTGTAGTCATTGGTAGGTGCATAACATTGGATGACGTTCATTGTAATGTCCTGTTTCTTTGTTTTGAAGGATGCTTTAATGATCCTGGGTCCATGAGATTCCCATCCTATCAGTGCCTTTTGTGCATGTTTGGACAGAATCAGTGCAACTCCTTGTGTATGTGGAGCGTTTTCCTCTTCATGACCAGAGTATAACAGCAGTTCCCCTGAAGCAAGTCTCAGTTGTCCTACCTGTGTCCAATGCGTTTCACTGATGCCGAGCACCTCGAGGTTGTATCTTTTCATTTCTGCCGCAACTTGAAATAGTCTTCCAGTCTCCCACAATGTACGAACGTTCCATGTACCTAAAAAAATGGTTGCTGTGGTTGTCAGAAGAGGCATCGGCCCCGTGACTTCCGAGGGAACTCGGCTTTCATCACGAGACGTCATAATTCTTCTCCCAACTCCCAGGGCAGAGTTAAAATGGTTTGAATTATTTTTTATGGTTAGCGTTTTTTTGGCAAGTGAGATTTCAATGGAATGGGGTCGCCAACCCCATGTCCAACCCTCCTCCTTTATCCGGGCTTGGGACCGGCAGTAGCCCCTAAGGTTCTACTGGCGGAGTTAATTTTGACTGTATACATATATAATAACCGAATTTCGTCAGCGACAATTTAAACAACATTATAAAGAACAGTCAACTCCACCTGGAGCCATTCTAGGGTTACTACCGGTCCCAAGCCCAGATAAAGGAGGAGGGTTGGGTATGGGCCAAGCAACCGAATCCCGTAGAAACGTGACTGGCTAAATAAACACTGACCAGAGAAACGATTCGCTGGTCAGTGGCCTATGGTTCATTAAGGGTAACAGGCGTCCATTCGTAAATTATACGTAACACGTTACGTATCTTTATCACCTTCAGTAAAAAGTGACCTTAACATTTTAATAAAATCAATTTTGTGAATTCACTGGTAATCAATCCCAAACTGAATTCTCTACAGTTTGATTGGATAACAGAAGCTGAGATTATGTGGATTTATCGTTAATTTTTTGAAAATTATTTTTATTATTTGAAATTCTGAATCGATCAACGTTAGACCGCCATTCGAAACCTAAAAGCACTGACAGACGGCCACTTCGTCCTGGTATGGGACTCATGAGCAGTGACCATTCACGACTTCTTCAGCTCGCAGGATTCCAACCAAGGACCTTAGGTCTTGTGCTCAAATACCTAACCTCTGGACCACTGAGGCGGCGTTAATGTCTAACTTCGATCAATTCACGGAGTTGCACCACCTCATACCCGGTCTTCGGTAGTTACTATCTACACCCGAAAAGGGTTGAACTTTACTGCTCACAACTTCCCTCAAGAACTCGGAGAAACTTACTCACGAAGCTAGTCACTAATGAGCACAGGTAACTCTGCATTACAGTGTTGTAGAGATTGTTGAGTTACACATTTTGAAACCATGAACCGATCAATGTTACACCACCATTAGAAACCTGGAAGCACTGGATGGCCGTTTCGTCCTGGTTAATAAATTGAATCTTTAATCTTAAAACAAATAACTAACTACTTCAACCACTTCAACAGACTTGATGAAATGTTTATTCTAACAATCATAAGTGCATTTTATTATTTTATTTTCTACGCGTAGATATTAATATTAATTATATTTTATTTTTAAAATAACTTAGACACATTAAAGTACATTAATTCAGTTTTTTTGTTACTGTTAAAATTGAAAATATTTACGTACACGAAAAAATAAACAATTATTAGCGTACTAACTCTATTCGCCTGAACAAAGAAACCCTTAAAATTTCTATACTTTACGAAGTATAATGTTGTAGATATGAGAAATTTTTTAAAAAATGTTTACTTTACTCTTCCTATAACTGTGAGATAAGTTCATGCAAACATGCAAAACAGGCGGCTATTTTAAACTGAATAAAATTCAAACGCTACATACGATATAATTGACATGAAGAAGAACTTTTTAAGATGCATAACTATTTTGTTTTGAAATAAAGTAATAGTACTTTTGCATGAAAGAACTGTTTTCTTTTTTCTTCTGATTTTTTCAACTTTTCATTATTTTATTTCAGATCTGTCCATCAGGTGTAGCAAGTAAAGAATCTTTCATAGGAGTATATCAAAGATTTTTTCCTAACCGTGGTATGTTTATGTAACGTTATATTTTTGGTCAGTTACTTTTTGAGATCGCAATCTAGAAATCACTGGACGACTGTTTCGTTCTGGTGAGGGACTCATCAGAAGTGCGCATCCTAGACTCCTGCGCCTCTCAGGATTCGGACCCAGGACATTAGGTCTTGGGCATGAATGACTAACCTCTGTACATTAATACCGTTTGATACTGGCTCAGTGTGTTTTCAAACAACTGGTGTTTATAATAATAAGCCCGAAAAATGTTCCCAACTCTAGAGATGAATCATTTGGATTCGGAAACTTTACAGGCAACAAGAGTAATTTAACAGACTTAGGTTTGCTTTGCCGACGACTGATTAATATTATGAATCTTAGATTCAGAGTTACCAGTTGATTATCTCCAACGGCACAACAAATACAAACTTTCCATAATTATTAAGTCTACGGCATCTGTGCATAATGATCAGAAAATAGCAACTTATTACTCGTACATTAACAAAATCACATCATTCTTAGGGTAAGTACAACGTTAGTTGGAAGTGAGTAAGACAAAGTAACTGTGAAGATTCACATTAACTGCTTAGTTGATTCGACTATGTAGAGCACCATTTTTTAAGTAATGTTTCATGATAGAGTTATGAAGATTATTTTCTGTCACTGTTAGACCATCATTAGAAAAATGGAAGCATTGGACTGCCTTTTCGTCTAATAGTTTTAACCAAAGATCCCCGGTTGTATTACTGCGAGTAGTGGGAATCGTAGATGCGCATCGTTGGTGAGTCCTACACCGGGACGAAACAGCTGTACAGGGCTTGCAGGTTTCTAATTATGGTCTAGCTTTTTTATAGTCTGTATTAAAGGTTGATGTGACTTTTTGCTTGTCTTGCTTTCAGCATCTAGTGCATATGCTCAATTATGTTTTCGAGTATTTGATAAATGTCGAACTGGTCAGCTAACATTCGAGGTAAGTTAATCATGTTCAATGTTAATTCAAACTTTTGAACTCAAAAACTTAAGCAAATTTTAAATGAATTTATATTACTCTATGTGCAATCCTACAGTATTTTCATTGTGTATGTTTAAAATAATAGAAATAATATTTAGAGAATTCCGCCTAATAACATTTGCAGATATTTGCAGTTGTTTCACAATTGAGAAAGACCACAAAAGCATAAACATTATTATATATATACATGATTTCAACATCCATAGTGATTGAGTTTGTTACAAGTGTACATTTTCACATTTCATTTTCTATGCCAAAGTAAGTTAAATTAAATTACAACAATGTCCAAATAGAATCAAAGGAGAAAAGTTGATCAAGTAACTACTGTACTTCAAAGTTGTTTTTTTCTCAGTAAATACGTCACCATTTGTAGAAAAATAAGTTGATTTTCAAATATTATACCTAATCTAATTGATTATTTATCAGAAAATTTACTTTTCATCATTTAAACTAAATCAGATGTAATCAAATCAATTCAATCCAATTGGGATCATTTATCTTTGATTGAATTTTTGCTCATTCACGGTAGAAAATCACTTTATCACATCGAGATATAAACGCTTTATAGAGATATTGAAAAGAACAACTACTCTTTTTCGGTCCCCGCGAGTGGTAGGGGTTTATAAATACTCACTACTCAAGAGTCGTATACTAGAACGAAACAACCATGCAGTGCTTTAAGGTTTCTAATAGTGGTCTAACATTGATCAGTCCATGATTTGAATGAAACTGAATGATCTCCACAACCTTTTGATGAAAACTATTTTATATTCGATGAATAATGTAAACGAATTAATGAAACTACCTAATAGTTAAATTCTAGTGATTATTTTGAAGTCAGATAGCCATTGAGTAACAGCATATATTATGCTTGTTTAGTACTCGGTCCTGTTAATCAGCTGATCATTAATCAAAGGTATTCAAGAATACATTGATATTAGATGTTTTTAGCTGGAAAGAGTTGGCAGGAAACACTGAACCTAGCCTTTCATATTTGTTATCCCTTGAATTTACCGTTAAGCTGTGTTCATAAGAACGCACGGTTCCAATAACTTCATTTCATGGGGAAATCGCCATCGAAAATAATCATGATAACGTGATAGTTTAGTTTACATTACCAAACCGTATAGAGTAAATAATAAAGATTCGAGATTGTGCAAATACCACAGAGTGCGTTGAAATAAAGACAGGGCACAAAATCGGTTTACTTAATATTATTATTTTCGGGTCGTGTAAATTAGCAAAATGGTTCCATGCAGATTAGGGCAAGTGACACCTAGAAATAATTTATAGACGAAACGCATTGAGTAGCTAGAGATCTGACTCCGATTCAGATGAACAACTAAATATGCTAGGAAATAAATATTGCCTTTGATTTCTGTATATTACATTTTGGTTGAACCCCATTTACGTGATGGATTTACCTCATACATTCTGTAAGCGATCAGACAACAATTAGAATCGTGAAAATGAAGCAAATCGAAGGCAAGTGGACTGGAGAAGATGAGTGAGCCAACTCATTGTGTTGAGGGATGACTAAGTATTTATAGTCAGTCAGATAGAACTAAACTAGACATGTGACAAGTGAAGTTAAGTGATGCACGCAAATACAGGCAAAAGCAACCAAGATTATAAACGAACCACTGACAAAGTTAAAAGACGAGTGAATAATAATTATAGGAGGCGAGTGGATTAATTGGTTTATTCAAAGGTTGGGACAAGTCATGCAGCGTTGACATACTGGTATACACAACAAGAACTTCTGTATTTAAAAGATATTTCTGAAGAAAATGATAATATTTCATATATTTAGATTCTTTTGGTAAAGTTATAAACAGAATCAAGAACACGGCTCACAGAATAAAGTAAATTTATTCGCTCGTATCTCGTCTTATCTTCAGCTGAGCACATCCTAAAACGGTAATGATTAATAGGATTATAGATTAATCTTTAAAGTCTTCCTTTTTTATATCTCTTACATAATCTTATTATTTTTCGGAAATTTCTTTAATTTTATTTCTCTTCATACTGAACGATTTTGTGATCAGTCAATAATTCCAAGACACTTACGTGAGACAATTTATCTTGATTGGGATTACTGGAATATTTATAACACCTTTTATACTCTAGATTGTAACATTTTAACATAGAAAAAAACATCTTACCCTTAACAATGATTATTTATACAATCTGTATACTATTGTCAGTCGCTGATTATGATCTTGGTTACATTTTGAACATTTTTCGTGCATGTTAAATATTTGTTCCTAACTATCACGATACTTGTAAAGGTATGCAGATTACAACTTTTTACAGGCCATAAAATAAAATGAACTCAATTTTTTCTAGGAAGCTTGATATTCATGTTATTGCTTAGAAAAGGACAGCATTATTAAAAGTTTACAGTATTGGGTTCGTCACTAAGTATGCTTGAGGCTATTACGAGTTTACCTGAGTCGATAAACGCAAACGAGACAATTACCAGCGTCCAGGTAGGCTAACTTAAATCCCAAACTATAAAACAGAAATCTCGGTAAGCGTAGAAAGTATATTCTACAAACACCCAGCAATTACACAATACAATCAAGCACACAACTGTCGTTTATTTATACATCATAGAAACGTTGTTGGGACAGTTACGAAAATAGCACACTAAAATACACAGCAGCCAATTACAGCCATGGATTTTCCTGGTGGGAAATGAAATCTCAAGGTCAACTGATCAGACCATGCTGGCAAAAGTGGAATCCAAAATAAGGCATTTATCAAGCGAGTTTTGGGGATCTAACATCCTCAACACTCCTCCCCTTTTTAATAGTGTGTGCTTCTGGGGTCGACTTACATCTTGACTGTCGTTCGCCACTGTCTGAGAGGATACCTTCAGGAACGAAGGACAGCTTGCTGCTGAGTTTCTTCTCGTGGCGAGGCTGCCGGTAGGTTGAAAGTATCAAGCAAGATGTCAAGGGGAAGGCTTTCTGCTCTTGATGGGCGATCTGGGGCTAGCCTTCTGCGTATCTGATGACGTGACCATTTATCACCTTCCACCTCTACTTCGTACATAACTCGACCAACTCTTCTGACCACTCTCGCTTCTGCCCAAGGACTATGGTTCGTTCTGTAGTCGCGGGCAAACACAGAGCATCCAACTTCGTAAGCCGATTGTCTTTGCGGCTTTGTCTCTACTGATGTGGGTGCATTAGTCGGATGCATCAGGCTGTGGATCGTTTTCAATCTTCTTCCCATTAGGATTTCTGCTGGGGACTTTTGCTCCGGTAACAACGCATTTGGTGTTGTCTGGTAGACGTAAAAGAAATTTCGCAACTCTAGAACAGATTTATTCAGGCCTGATTTTATGGATTGTTGAAATATTCTACTGGTTGAGAATGTATGCAAAATGAATAAATTTAGATTTGAGACAATTTCAAACTGATTTTACCACTGTTACATGCTCATGATTATTCACTATTGAATTTGATTAATATTTTAGTAATTTTCTTTTACCATTGATATTGAACATTGAAAAAAAATATGTCATGTTTACTTTGAATTTATTTATGCAACCGACTGCTTATCGTATTTCATTTTTTATTTTTTCTTTCTGCAAATTTAGCAATTTGCTTGTGGTCTATCTGAATTGACCAAAGGTTCAAATATGGATAAAATTAAATGGATATTTAATTTATATGATATCAATGGTGATGGTTATATTAGTAGAACAGAATTGAAAGAAGTGATTCAAGCTATTTATGATTTAGTTGGTGATAAATTATTCACTGGAAATAATATACAAGCTATTGAAGATCGAGTGAATACAATGTTTACTGTAAGTTGACATTTGTTTGAAATTTAAGCAAAGTTTGTTTGTCAAACTACTGGTTAGTGTAACCTGAACGATATTAAATGTAGGTGAAGCAGCATTAGGTAAGAGTTCTAAATTGTTGTGAAAAAGCTGACGGTATGCATCTACTTTCTCGCCAAAAATCGAAACTAGTACAGAAAGGACTGGTTACAAACAGGATAATATTAGGCTTACTGGTTTAAGTTGATCAGGGAAATCTTTTTGTTAATTATTGTCAAGAATAAAATTTAGTAAGCTGCTTTTTTACGACAGTTTTATAATAATAATAATAAGCTAATTTCAAATGAAACTTGATTTGAAGTATTTAACGTACTTTAAAACATTGTAAATGTGAAAGATATTATTCAGTTGATATTACTGAGTTGTTAAAAAATGTATAAAACGCTTATCGACTCTCGATTCAACAACACTTTATTGTTAAATGTTTCTGGTACTTATTGCAATCTGCTGCCTCCTTAGTTCTCACAACTGGTATGATCTCCTTTCTTTTTTGTATCTTGATAAGGTGTACTTCATTCTAGTCTGTCGGTTCTCATACTTCTTCCCAAATCATTCCACAGAGGATATGAAGCATCTTTGCACATATTTCCAAGTCTAACTCTGTTGGGGATGTTAGATCCCCAAAACTCGCTTGATAAATGCCTTATTTTGGATTCCACTTTTGCCAGCATGGTCTGATCAGTTGACCTTGAGATTTCATTTCCCACCAGGAAAATCCATGGCTGTAATTGGCTGCTGTGTATTTTAGTGTGCTATTTTCGTAACTGTCCCAACAACGTTTCTATGATGTATAAATAAACGACAGTTGTGTGCTTGATTGTATTGTGTAATTGCTGGGTGTTTGTAGAATATACTTTCTACGCTTACCGAGATTTCTGTTTTATAGTTTGGGATTTAAGTTAGCCTACCTGGACGCTGGTAATTGTCTCGTTTGCGTTTATCGACTCAGGTGAACTCGTAACAGCTTGAAGAGTACCTAGTGACGAACATAACAGTTTGTACTTGTACTTCTTCCTTAATCTTTCCACAGAGGAAGTGAAGCATCTTTGTACGTATGTCTGTTTCCTATGACTTAGCTGGTATTTTGTCTGTACCTACCACTTTCCCACTTTAGAACTGATGGCCATATTGATTTTCTTCGATTTTCGATGTGGCACCGGCTGTAGGAAGGTCTGTGAGTATTTTGATGGTACTTTTTCCACCCGCTTGTTCTTTAGTGACTGAAGCTCATTGGTTGGTTTCTCATCTTTCTTCTTGATTGATCGTTCAGTTTTGTTACATTTTTCAGCCAACTTCCTTGTTGTCTTATTTAGTTGTTTCATATTTCTTTTTGTTACAGTTTCTAGTTTTGTCTTGCTAGGTCTTTCACTAACCAGCTCTAATTATCCTACTTACTGGCTTTTTTACGTCAGTGTATTTACGCTGTGCGTGATTTTCTCTGCTCATGTTCGGTCGTTGTTGTTGTAGATTGCCATCCTCTTTTTCTGTTTTTCTCGAACCTTACCGAGAGCATCGACAGAGATCCATTTCACTTTTGGACTTTAAAACGATAATTATGCTTAATGAACTGTACCAAAATGTTGAACCACATAAGAAGAGATAAGTTTTACAGAGTACAGTGCATCTCAAATGAATAATTTTAAGTAACAGTAAGTCTTCATGAATTAAAAAGGCAGAGAAATTTTAATTTGTAAGAACCAACTACCATTATCGTTATGTATCATTTAATCCAAACAAATCACCTTGACTTCCAAACACTGGCATACTTCTAGTTTAGTTGACAGTCGGACAGTAATGTTTATGATAACAAGTAACTAGAATTCAATCAATAATTTCTAAAAAAAAAATGTAAACATTTTCTTTTTCATTTCACAGAAATACGATCTTGATCATGATGGAAGAATATCAAAAGATGAATTTCTCAGTGTTTCAACACAGGTAAGTTAGTTTCCAGTGAAAAAAACAACTAGTATTTTTCATTTCTAATTTTGTTAATTTTTTATTTTATTTTTTTAGGATCCTGATTTTATGGCAAATTTGAACTTATTCGATACAGTTACCTAATCATAGTGATAAAATCTCAGAAAGAATGAAAATAATGCAGTTCTCAATGAACACTGTTATTATAATCAATACTGTGTTTCAATTATTTGATAGGAAGTACACTTGTTACAATACATTGTAAATATCAAACCATTGAAGATTGATAACAAAACATTGAACGTTGAACAAAATATTTTTCAAGCATTCAGTTTCTTTAAATGAAAAATTGAACGAACAGTAAATTATTTCATGTGGCGCACAACCAATCAATATCTTCTTCATTCAATTGAACTCAATAAAAACACTGTTTTTGTTTATTTCTCAATGTTTTTTCCTGTTTTAGATGAGAAGAAATTATTTTATAAAAAATAAAACGTATGACTTTTGATGTTTTCATTTTATATAACAATAACAATAGTAATAATAACATTTTATTTTCCCAAAAGTTTACTAGTTGTTTTCAGTAATAGACATTTTCATATTCACAAATGTGATATGAATTAAAACCAGTGTTTATTTAATAATGAAAATAACAAGTCCGATGTTTATTGAATTACACATTTGAAACCATGAATCGACCAATGTTAGACCAACATTAGAAACCTGGAAGCACTGAAACACGGCCGTTTCGTCCTGGTATGAGACTCATCAGCAGTGCGCATCCATGCCTTGAGCACCTCGCAGGATTCCGACCCAGAACCTTCGGTATCGTGCTCAAACGCCTAACCTCTGGACCACTCAGCCGGTATCTAACGGTGTTATTGTCTAACGTTAATTAATTCACAGATTTGCGCAACCTCATACAGAGTCGTCGGTAGTTACTATCTACACCCGAACAGACTGAAATTCACTGGTCACGACTTCCCGCTAGAAATCGGAGAAGATTCCTCACGAAGCTAGTCACTAGTGAGATCAGGTAGCTCTGCATCACGGGGTTGTAAAGATTGCTAAGATATAAATTTGAAATCATGAATCGATCAATATTAGACCACCATTAGAAACCTGGAAGCACTGTTTGGCCGTTTAGTAGGTTAAATTTTATTAATAATATGGTACTTTTTTTTGAGTTGATCAGATTGAATATAAGGAATAAATAGAAAGTTGATTTTAGATTAGGCTTAATAAATTAATTCTATATAAAAAAATATCTTAAGTACCCTGTAATTAAATATGTTAACTATAGGTTTGGATAGTGAGATTTCGAAAACAAAGAAAAATATTTTGTAATATACTTAAGGCTCCACTTCATAAAACCTATTTTTTGAATGAAAGGAAAATAATATAGTTTTACTGAAATATTTTCGGAAAATGACTAGTGAAATAATTTGTTTATAGTGTTTAATAAGTTCCGTTTTTTTTTTGGTCAGTCAAGTAGCATTACACTACGAAAATCAAATCACAGTTAATTTAAAACCATCTCAGAATAATCTATATCAGTCAACCGTTGAAAAACTTGAATGCCCTGGAGCGCCTTTTTAGCGAGCAACTACTATCCAGGACCTTTCTTCTCTCAGACGAACATGAGCCGGATCACAGTAGTGTAGAAGTTTAACTTCGAGAAAACTGCGTTTATCCGCAATTTTTTCAACTGGAGTTATGGAGATCAGTGTTTTTACACGTTGGAATCACTAATCAGTCATTGTTAGACAACCATTAGGAACGTGGAAGCACTGGATGGCCTTTTCGTCATGGTATAGGACTCATCAGCAGTGCGCATCCACGACTGCTGCACCTCGTGAATAAATTCTCGTAGTTTTAGTGAAAAGACGTAACTAGTGGAGATCAACCCTGTCAGGTGTGGTCAGTAACTACTGAAGTGAAATAGGTAAGGTCGCCTAAAATCCCTAGATTCATCAGAGTGGTCCAGAAGTTTTGTCAGCAATGCTAAAATTTGACACGACATTGTAATACTGAGTATTAAATCGGATATGCAGCAATGGCTATTTAAGAGTCAATAAAAATTTTGATTTATTGTTATAATTCAACGTTTACGCAATTTTTTGCGTATCGCAAGTCAGTACAATCCGTATAGTCATTGAATGATGATATTCACTGTGGCACGGCTTTATCACGCATATATACCATCAAATTGAAATCCGACTTTCAGAACCTAAAAATATGTTGTTACTATCATTTTATAGAGAACCATGTAAACTTATATACAGTCATTGAAGAACACCTTGTTTTATGCAATTAGTTGTTTTGAATATTATTAGGTTGAATAAAACAGTTTATGCAGCATATATGGTTAACTACATCATTACACCCTATTCTTTCTGAGCTCCTTTAGATGTCATATGATATACTTGTGACTATTTATGTTGACAAAAATATTCCAACAACAAAACCTAGTCACCCGTCTGTAGACATGACTAGTTTTCAAACCTGTCTCACTGAAACATATACTTTCATTGAATTAATTGATCAGTTTGACGGTAGTTACATCATACTGAAAAAGAATGAAGAATTTGAGCGTGGATACAGAAGGCTCGAAGGGCCGTTGCCAACCTGCGTCACTTATGGTGTAGGCAAGCTGTCGGTCTGCCAACCAATGGACGGGTTTACTGTGTAGAAGTTCTCTCCTTCCTAGTATATGACTGTGAAGCATAGCCAGTCAGGGGAGAAAATACATGTAGTTTGCTGATTTTCAATTATTGGTGTCTTCGAATTTTTGCTCGTTTTTCTTGGGACTATCGAGTAAGCAATGCAGTTGTTAGGAAACGAATGGATCAATAGATGAAGTATTGAAGCTTGATCAGTTGAGGTGGTTTGGACATGTGTTACTAATGCCCGACCACCGACTGACTCGACGAACTATGTTTTGTGGTGTAGCAATAGGTTGGAAGAAAGCCAGGGGTGGCCAAACCAAAACATATCACAGAGTCATGAAGTCACGGACAAGTGGACTGAGTCATGTTGGTAGGTGTCGACTACCTGATTGTGGTCCGCGAGATGATATTAACCGATAGTTATAGACCCTGGATGATATGGTTCAAAACCGTTTGCAATAGCTCAGGTGCATCGATGGTTTGTGCTCTGTCAAATCCTAATCTTCTGAATTCCTCATAACCGTTTTGTCTCTTTTTTAACTGATTCCTTTTGGGGTATACACCTCAGATGATCTATTCGATTACTGTTCATACTTCCATTACCTCTACTACTATGGGATTTGAATTGACAGTTGCTTCTCTGTGCTAATAAAGTATGGCAACTTGAAGTGATGTTCGTTAGTACGAAATTCTATGTTGTAACTTACTGACTGACTGACTAAATTACATCATCGTCTTTTATCAGCTGAATAATTATTAAAAATCATACAAAATAGTCAAAACATTTGTTCTATTTGTTGAAGATCTTCACCATTGTCAAATAAACATTCAGTTAGATTAAAACTGATTCCAATATAATCAGTTCGTCCAGGACAAAACAAATTTATCGAACAATCCATGATTTTTAATTGTTTTCTGACTATTTTTTTTCTCATGGATTAGTTAAACTGTCAATTGTCCAAATCGAGTATTTATTGAACAGACTAGTTTGTTTTACCCCTTTTTATGAATCACATAGTATCGAGTACTAAACAAATTAGTTTTTAAACTTTACTTCTTTCTTTAAAAAAAGAAGAGGAATAATCGATCTTGAATCTAGGGATATGAAGAAATGTAAAGTCGTGTAAATACACACATATTCAGTTGTTTAGATCAGTAACACCCATTCAATGTTTGTTTGTCTACAATATATGAGTTCGATTTTTACAAAATTTTCCATTGATCACTGAACAGTAAGTGTATTGATATTGTAAGTAAATTGTATTGACTACCGATTAATTTATTTTGAAATAGGATTATGTATAGAAGTAGTTTTTTTCTAATAAGATTTAAATGAAAATGTTGTTTTGTAAATATTTTTGTCTGATATTCAATACATTTATTTTTTTGAAATGACAAAGAATTGGTACTTAATCTGTTAAGTAGGATTAAAACTTTTGTTTTAATTAGTAAAAATGTTTTGACATTAAATAATGAAATGCACTAACTGAGTTTGTTTTGTATGGATTAGACGAATTGAAACTAACTAATACTTATTTAGGAAACAAAGTCAGACTATTCATATATTATTCATGATAAAGTGATCAGTAACTATGGTTGGATGATAACTTCGTCTGGAGCCTTTCTCTTGGTTAATGCCATTCCCAAGCAGGATGGTTAAGCATGGGCTAAGCAACGCCATCCTGTAGAAATCCAGTTTGCTAAACAAAAACAATAGCCAGACAAATAATTCGTTAGTCGGTTGCCTATGTTCCATTAGGGATAACAGGCCTTAGCAAGTAAGTAAGTATGTAGGTAAGTAAGTAAGTAAGTGCATAAGTAAGTAACTATGTAACTAAGTAAGTAAGTAAGTAAGTCAGTCAGTAAGTAAGAAAGTAAGTGCATAAGTAAGTGCATAAGTAAGTGCATAAGTAAGTAAGTAAATAATGATTAGGAATTTGATCTAAATGCAAACAACATCAGCTATAATAAGTTCGTTTCGAACCTTATCACTTCATTCCGATTTAATGTTATGATGTGACCGAAGAAGAATCAAACCAGATAGTAAGACGTTATTATTATTATTGCTTAATCGCGCAACCGTTTAGCTTCAAAATAGCTTTGAATTACAATTATTTTCTTCTACAATAATATTATATATGAGTATAATGTTACACTAAAAAAGATATTTAGTCTACTGCATAGCTTCGTCATCGCGTGATACCAGTTCACGTTGAGGCTTATGTCACGTGGGTGTTTATTGGTCAACCACACTATACTATGTTGAATAAACTGTCGAATAAGAATTCGCTTCTTTCATTCCAACAATCCAAAATATTTTTCATAAATTCTAAACTCTATTTCATAGTACATAGTGTTGAACATACATTGATTATCTTTACATATCACAAATAAACATGCCGATTTACGTCTATGACCTGTGAAGGTCAATGTTTATTTGAATGAAAAGATCATCACTGATCACTTGCATTCATGAACTGAGTATAAATGTCTAATATTCATCATTATCTGTTGAAATTTTAATAAGTAAATTATTGTGACACAATGTATATCTCTTAGTTAGGTATAGATAGGTTAACATTGAGTGCATAATGAAATACCAACACTTAATGTGACAGTGTGTTTCGAGGAGAAAAAACGTACGTGAAAATGTAAACATACAGTTGTAGATGCAATCTGCCAACTTACTTACTTACTTACGCCTGTTACCCCCAATGGAGCATAGGCCACCCACTAGTTTTCTCCAACCAACTCTGTCCTGGGCTTCTCTCTCCAGTCCTGTCCAATTTTTGTCCATTCTTCTCATGTTTTTCTCTATTTCTCGGCGTAATGTGTTTTTCGAACCTCCTTTTTTCCTTTGACTT